CAATTCGAGTCTGGCCTATGGCACTACTTGTGAAAGTATACGTGAATGTGTTTTCCATTATGAAAGACGATGTGGTAACGCGCAACGCTGTTGCGCTACAACACTACTGAAATGGAGGTAACATATACTGAACTGCGTCAGCTCGTCGAAAATGGAGAGAGGATACGCTGGTGCGGAACACCAGTAGACGGTCGTGTATCTGTACAGTTGATCAAAAATGACACTGCGCGGTTTGTGACGATAGACGTCGACAAGGTATTCGACGATTGGAAGTGCGTAGGAGTGATAAGAAATGGAGAGGCTATAAACCCCATGGAGAATACTGGCTATGCACCACACAACCGAGACATATTTGCCACAATGCGGAAAGCGTCAGTACTTGGCATAAATATATCCGGAGATTGCATGACACAATGTGGCAAAGAATATGTTCCTATCAGCGGCTGTACATGTGGCTATGATATTGAACTAGATTTAAGATCAGAAGAGAGAGGTGGGTTCCCATTACCAACGGTTCCTATACTGTCGGTGGCACTATGGTGCACATGTGGCTTCAGAAAATTTATATCTACTCTTGACATACCTAGAGACGATTGTATACGGGTATATAAGAACACTGATTTTGTAAAGGTTACGATAGACCTAATTAAAGATCATATGCCGCTATGGCTCGTCGGATGGAACTGCTACTCCTTCGACAACACGTGCTTGGTATGCAACGCCGGAGATGAATATCTGAAATATTTTAACAAAGTCAAGATTGGTAGTGCTTCTGGTATCGACTACGGCTATATTTTAGATATACCAGGCGTGTATAACGTAGATCCACTTGGTTATATGCAACGCAACCCATCGTACGCTGACGAGTTCAAGGATCTAAGTTTGCAAGGAGTTTCATCTGTTATAAACGATCGTCAGAAAACTGAAATGCCAGACCTATATAAAGTGTTATCTCCAATTGAAATCATGGAATACAATATGAACGATTCTGCGCTAGCTGCCGATGCATGGATTAAAGTGTCACTAATAGACGAGATTCCAAGTTTATCGTTAGTATCATGCGCGCCGATATATGATTGTGTGCGCCACATGACAAGCGTCGAGGCTAGGTGCCCGTTGACGTCAGAGGCGATGTCGCGCAGCCTCATGATAGACTGGTCAGCCCCAGAGCCTATGGAAAAGTATGAAGGTGGACGAGTGTTCGAGCCAATAAAGGGAATCCACGATGAAGTCGTTGTATGCGACTTCTCAGCAATGTATCCAACGATCATGATAGATGGCCGTATATCACCAGAGACAGTAGTTGTAGAACCACCTGACGATCACGAATACGGCGACATGTGGTACTGTGATAATTATATACGTGTTCGACTAGAGGATTGTATAGGTCGATTTCCGCGCACCGGATCCTGCATACAGCGCGATATACTAATGAAATTTTCTAAGATTCGAAATGCAAATAAGGCTACTAACCCTAAATACGCGAAAACGGTTAAGATATCATCGAATGCAGTTTATGGTACGATAGGCTACCAAAATTCTCCTATGTATAGCCCTGTGTGCTCGAGCTCAGTTACCGCGATTGGAAGATTGTGCTTAGAAAGAGCGAGAGACGTGTTTGAAAGTAACGGCCTCAAAGTGATATACGGAGATACAGATTCGTGCTTTGTCGCAGCAACAGCAGTTACAACAATGAAATTTAACGGCGATGTCATAGAGCATGCGCAGTTTTGTTTAGACAAGTTACATGAATTGCTAGCAACGACTCCGTTTTTCTCAATGCGGATGGCACTCGAGTGTAGGTACAAACGCGTCCTTCTTCTAGAGAAAAAGAAATATTGCGCATTAATGGACAACGATAAAATAAAGTATAAAGGAATGTCGATTGTAAGACGAGACACTCTAGGCATCTGCAAGTTCGCATGCGAGGCTGTTTGCAGCGCACTTTTACGCTCAGGGAGTATTACTGCAGCTAATGAACTGATTGCTCAGATAATTGCAAATATTGTGTATAGCGCAATATACAACAAACTTAGTCATAATGACGTATCAAAGGTGGCAAAACGAGACCAGAAACGGTCTTATGTATACATGGGAAGCGATAACAAGGAGAGGGTAGTTCCGATCGACATGTCGTCTAACGTCGTTACTGACTACAGCAAGACATACGTACTCAATTCAGTTAAGCATGAGATTTTAAGAATAACATCACCATGCGGATTGGGATCTATATCGGAAATAATGAACCGCTCCTCACTCTTATTTTAGGCAAAGATTGTCGAAATTTCCCATGAAAACCGACGAGGTGTTAGTGCACGGCTCTTCTAAAACTCCCTCAAAACTTGGCATTGCTGTATAATCCGTGGCCAGCAGAGTCTCTATCCAACCGAGCTCTCGTGCCGTGAGACCCGG